TATAATGTGCCTTGGAAAAGATAGTCTTGGGTTAATTCTATTTGGGGTCCTTTGTATTTCTTGGGTCTGGATCTTTGAATGGATCTAGATTTGGAAAGTTTTCTTCCAGGATTTCATGGAATAGATTATCAATGCCCTTATTGGTCTCTTCACCATCTGGGATATCAATTATCTGGATGTTTGGATTATTAAATTAAATTATTCTGTTTTTTTGGGCTATTTTATCAGTCTTTGTGGTAGATTTTTCCAGTCCAGAGATTGTCTTCTACATCTGAGATTTTATTTTCTGCATGATCTAGTAGTTTCTAATACTTTCAAGGGAGGTTTTGACTTCCTCTATTATAGCCTTCAGCTCTAACGGTTCCATTTTATTCTTTATGGTGTGTATTTATTTCTTCTTTCAGATAATGCAAGAACTTTATCACCTCCTGGAATTTGTCTTCTCTTTTCTCCTATATCTTCTGGAGTTCATTGTCTCTCTTCTCTTGCATCTCTTTTAGTTTTGTCACCATTAATATTCCCAATTCTTTATCAGACATTTCTGAGTTCCATTGTACTCTGTGGATGAAGAGGAGTTATTATTTTCCCTTGAAGGAGAGGTATTTTCTTGGTTTCTCATATTTCTTGCACCTCTGCAATGATTTCTAGTCATCTGATGAGTTATAATTTCCTTCCTAATATCTAGAAGTTCAATCTGAGCATTCAGAAGCATGCAGGAGGAGGTGATCTACAATTTCTTTACTGGTCCATTTTTCTCCCTTTGAGCAGCAGATTCAGTGGGAATTGAGGAATATGTTGACCCTAATAGTATTCGGATGTTTGGCTACGGTTCACTTAGACCTGTTTAGACACTCAGTGGGTAAGGTCTGCTGCAGCCATTCTTTTCAGGTGGACACCCTGTGCCTCTCTTCATCTGCAGTTCACCTGTATTTTGTGTAATAAATATCCTCACTCATCCTCGCTTCTGGGGCACACCAAGGATGTGCAATGCACTCAGAGCGCCCACTTGGCTATGCCACCCAGGGGCCTGGCAAGGGCCCATGCAGCCAGAGCAGAGGCCCTGTTGGTGTCTCAGCTGCCACCACCTCCGCCAACACTAGCTAAGGCGGGTCACCCACACTAGAGTAGGCACACAAGCTCACAGTGTGTATCCCAGCCCCAAGGCTCAGCATGTGCAGTGGAGCAACTCTAGCTCAGTATTAGGCAGACACATATTTAATAAGTAAATCATAGAACAAATATTATATAATTTCATTTGTATGAGGTACTTAGAGTAGGTAAATTCATATAGACAGAAAATATAATAGAAACTAGTAGTAGCTAGAAGGGAGAAGAGAGCATTATTGTTTAATGGTACATAGTCTTTGTTGGAGATGATAAAAAATGTTGAAAATAGATGGCAGTGATGGTTACATAACATTATGAGTGTATTTAATGCCATTGAATTGTACAGTTGAGTAGATAAAATTATAAATATTATGCATATTTTTACAATTTTTAAAGACTATCATAAAGGGCCAGTCTAGTAGCACAGTGGATTAAGCACTGTGCATGTGGAACCAAATCCCACATGGCTAACCATGATTTAAATTCCAGCCCTGGCAGCTTGAGAACACACCAGGCACAGGTACAGGTGTGACCAGAGTCCTGATGGGATGGAGAAATGGCAGAATAAGAATTGCAGTGTGGGCTTTAAGGGACTAAACTAATGAATAATTTCTGCTGAGATGTCATACTTCAAAGCCCATCCACAAGTGGAAGAGGCAAAGATTCCATTGGAACTGGAACTAGTATTGTCAGGGACCATACTAATGAAAAATTTCGGGTGAGACTTTGCCCTCCAAAGCCGAGTGGGTAGGGCCCCATGTCCTTCTCTCTGCTTCTGTCTTTTCAGTTTTTTCATGTTTTTTATTTTTAAATTTTAAAATTATTTTATTTAATATTCATTTATTCATTCACTTATTGTTACTATGACCAGAGAAGAACAGAGCAATCGAGAGAGAGAGAGAAAGAGAAAGAGAAAAAGCAAAGCTGCCAGGTCTGAGACTTGAACCACAGTTGGCCATGCGGGAGTCCAGTACCTTTAACCACCACACCACATGCTGGTCCTATTTTTAATTTTTTAAGGTAAAGTATTTTCTTGATGTTCACATCCTCCTTTACCTTGGTAATTCTCACCTTTCCTCCTTCTCATTTAGGAGAGGCAAAGACTCCATTGGAGCTGGAACTAGTACTTTCACGTGACATGTGATTGTGCCTTGTGGTTTTCATTTATTGATTTTAAAATAAATAAGTAGAGGATAAGCCGATCAGCATCTATCTTTATTTGAGTTCCAAGTGGCCGCATTCAGGGATTTTGACCAAAGACTCTCTGCCCAGACTTCATCTTCCTGCTCCCCAGTTTAGCTAGGAGCCAGGATAAGCCAATTAGCAGGCATCTACATTTGAGTTCCAAGTGGCCCCATTCAGGTATGTTGACCACTGAAGACCCTCTGCCCAGACTTGACCCTCCTATTCCCCAGTCTAGCCAGGAGCCAGACTGCCGGTCACCTCCATTTGCATTCCCCTGATTGCTCAACATTAACTCCAAAGAATAGGGGGGAAAATGTATTATCCATCAGATGACCAGAAACCACTGCAGAGGCACTAGAAATATGAGAAGTGGAGAAAATATCTCTCCTCTAATGGAAAAGAATAACCCCTTTTCCTCCACAAAGAATACAAGGGAACTCACAGAAATGTCTGATAAAGAATTGAGAATATTAATAGTGACAAAAGTAACAGAGAGGCCAGAGAAAGAGACAACAAACTCCAAAAGATGCAGGAGAAAAGAGACACCAAACTACCGGAGGTGAGGAAGTTCTTGCACAATCTGAAAGAGGAAATATACATCATAAGAAAGAATCAAACAATTATTAGAGATGAAGGCTATAATACAGGAAATCAAAACTTCCATTGAAAATATCAAAAGCAAATTAGATCATGCAGAAGATCGAATCTCAGGAGTATAAGATAGAATCTCTGACCTGGAAAAATTGACCAAAAATACTGAGAAAATAACCCCCCAAAAATGAGAATGACATACGAGTAATACTAGATACCATTAAATGCTCAAACATCTGGGTCATCAGCATCCCAAAAGGTGAAGAAACTAATAAAGACATCGATAATCTATTCCATGAAATCCTGGAAGAAAACTTATCAAACCTAAAGAGGTAATCAAATATCCAGACCCAAGAATTAAAAGGGACCCCACATAGAATCGACCCAAGAAGATCTTTCCCAAGGCACATCATAGCCAAATTGACCAAGAAAGAGACAAGATACTACAATTGGCAAAAGAGAAACATCAAGTTACTTTCAAAGGATATCCCATAAGAGTAACATTAGACCTTTCATTGGAAACAATGCAAGCAAGGCAAGAATGAGAAAAATGTATTCAAAGTGTTAAGTGAAAAACAATTTCAACCAAGAATATCATACCTAGCCAGATTATCTTTCGTATGGGAAAAAGACAAAAACATTCTCAGATAAACAAAACCTGAAAGAATGTAAAAACACCATAGGAGCTCTCCAAGAAGTTCTGAAGGGAGTGCTATTTCAGGAAAAATAAAGTTGGACACACAGAAATAAGAGTACAACAAACAACCAAGAGAATGGCCAGCCTAACGGTAGAGACAAATCCAGAGTTTAAATGGAAAGATCAGACTACAGTAACACTGTAAATTCAATAGAACAGAGATTAATTATGTGAGTCTGAACTAGTGAAGTAGAATTTTTTTACTTTAGACTAAAACATTACTGATTTTCTTTGATGCTTTGATTTCCATATTTAAGAATTTTTGTCTTCTCTTGAACTGTTGATAGGTTCATTTACGTACTATTTGAACTGAATCCTAACCTTTTTCCTGACTTTAAGTTTTAAGCAAATTTCTCGACATTTTTAAAATTTTAAGTTGTTAAAACTAAAACGTTTTTGAAATTAAAAAATACCTATTAATACCTATTTACAAACTACAGTAAGCTATATAGCCCCAGCAAGGTCCTACTTTATAGTATATTCACTTTATTCACTGAGGTTTACACCTAGTCAAACATGCATTCATAAATATGGATATATCAGTTGTGCTTGATATTAAAAGTCTTTAAGTTAATTAAGATCTTTAGTGAATCAATAAAATGTGAAAATAAAGGTATGGAAAACAACTGTACATAGGAGAGACAGTGTGGGAGAATAGGGGGAGTTGGCAGAGGGTTAGAGGTAGGGAACCAAGGGGGAAAACAAAATATATAAGAAACAAGAAATAGAAAATTATTTGTTGATGATAACATATATGGTAATATCCTTGATTGAGCCAAGATACAATTTATACTAGATGGAAAATATCATTTTGTGTACTGTATTGCTATACAGTGAATGATAAATAAATAAAAATTAATAATAATTATAAATAAATAGTTAAAATAACACTTAAAAATGAATTTTAAAAGAGAGAGAGAGTGAGAAAGCAAGCTTCCAGGTCCAGAACCCAAACTGTGGTCGGCCATGTGGAAATCTGGTGCCCTGACCACCACACCACCTGTCGGCCCCAATAAAATGATTCTTTAAATAAAGTAAAAGTCTGGTAACTGTAAAATTAAAAAAATAAATAATTTTGGGGGGGTTGTATACTTTTTTCTCTTTCTCTGTTTTCTTTCCCTTTTTCTTTTACCTTCACCACTTTGCTGCTCATCCTCCATGCACTAAGTGTCTAGACAGGTCTAAGTGAACAGAAATCAAACACCTGAATGCTATTAGGGTCATAATATTTTTCAATTCCCACTGAATCTGCTGCACAAAGGAAGAAAAGCGGAACTGCAGATCACCTCTGAGTGCACTACTCTGAACACTCATATCAAACTTCAAGATATTAGGAAGAGATATGTTTATCAGATTACTCCTTTCTGCCTGTGGACGCCACCGGGGAAGCATCATGGAACTCTCTCTTTTCACTGCCATCATGTCTAAGTTCGAGTCTCCTGAAGAGCTGGAACAGCTGCGGAAACTCTTTATCGGAGGGTTGAGCTTTGAAACAACCAGTGAGAGCCTAAGGAGCCATTTTGAGCAATGGGGAATGCTCACAGACTGCGTGGTAATGTGAGATCCAAACACCAAGTGCTCCAGGGGCTTTGAGTTTGTCACGTATGCCACTGTGAAGGAGGTAGATGTAGCCATGAATGCAAGGCCACACAAGGTGGATGGAAGAGTTGTGGAACCAAAGAGGGCTGTCTCAAGAGAAGATTCTCATAGACCGGGTGCCCACTTAACTGTGAAAAAGATATTTGTTGGTGGCATTAAAGAAGACAATGAGGAACATCGCCTAAGAGATTATTTTGAACAGTATGGTAAAATCGAAGTGATTGAAATCATGACTGACCAAGGCAGTAGCAAGAAGAGGGGCTTTGCTTTTGTGACCTTTGATGATCATGACTCTGCGGATAAGATTGTCATTCAGAAAGACAATACTGTAAATAGCCACAACTGTGAAGTAAAGAAAGCCCTGTCCAAACAAGAAATGGCTAGAGCTTCCTCCAGCCCTAGAGGTCGAAGTGGTTCTAGAAACTTCGGTGGTGGTCGAGGGGGTAGTTTTGATGGTAATGACAACTTTGGTCATGGAGGAAACTTCAGTGGTCATGGTGGCTTTGGTGGCAGCCATGGTGGTGGCGGATACGGTGGAAGTGGGGATGGCTATAATGGATTTGATAATGATGGTGGTTATGGAGGAAGTGGCCCTGGTTACTCTGGAGGAAGCAGAGGCTATGAAAGTGGTGGACAGGATTATGGGAACCAGTGCAGTAGCTATGACAGGAGTGGCAGCTATGACAGCTATAACAACGGAGGAGGCGGAGGTGGCTTTGGCGGTGGTAGTGGAAACTATTTTGGAGGTGGTGGAAGCTACAATGATTTTGGCAATTACAACAATCAGTCTTCAAATGTTGGACCCATGAAGGGTGGCAACTTTGGAGGCAGAAGCTCTAGCCCTTATGGAGGTAGAGGACAATACTTTGCCAAACCACGAAATCAAGGTGGCTATGAGGCAGAAGCTCGGGCCCTTAGGGAGGTGGAGGCCAATACTTTGCCAAACCACGAAATCAAGGTGGCTATGGTGGTTCCAGCAGCAGCAGTAGCTATGGCAGTGGCAGAAGATTTTAATTAACTGCCAGGAAACAAAGCTTAGCAGGAGAGGAGAGCCAGAGAAGTGACAGGGAAGCTACAGGTTACAACAGATTTGTGAACTCAGCCAAGCACAGTGGTGGCAGGGCCTAGCTGCTACAAAGAAGACATGTTTTAGACAATACTCATGTGTATGGGCAAAATACAAGGACTGTATTTGTGACTAATTGCATAACAGGTTATTTTAGTTTCTGTTCTGTGGAAAGTGTAAAGCATTCCAACAAAGGTTTTTTTTTTTTTTTTTTTTCAACAAAGGGTTTTAATGTAGTTTGGGGTTTTTTTTGTTTTTTGTTTTTTGTTTTTTGTTTTTTTTTTTGCACCCATGCTGTTGATTGCTAAATGTAATAGTCTGATCATGGCGCTGAATAAATGTGTCTCTAAAATAAATAAATAAATAAATAAAAAGATATTAGAAAGAAATGTATAACCTTTCAGATGACCAGAAATCACCACAGAAGCACGAGAAATATGAGAAACCAAGAAAATACCTCTCCCCTAAGAAAAAACAATAGCTCCTCTTCATCCACAGACAATACAATGGAACTCACAAAAATGTCTAATAAAAAAATTTAGAATATTCACAGTGACAAAGCTAACAGAAATGCAATAGAAGAGACACAATGAACTCAAGAAAATACAGGAGAAAAGCGTCAACAAGTACCAGGAGGTGAGGAAGTTCATGCATGATCTGAAAGAAAAAATAATCATTATAAAAAAGAATCAAATAGAACTGTTAGAGATGAATGCTGTAATACAGGAAATCAAAGCCTCCTTGAAAGTATTAAAAGCAGACTAAATCATATAGAAGATCAAATCTCAAATGTAGAACACAGAATTGCAGGACTAAAAAATCCACCATGAAGACTGAGAAATAGCCCCCGAAACATGAGAATAATTTATGAGAAATACCAGATACCATTAAATGTCCAAACATCCAGATCATTGGTATCCCAAATGGTGAAGAGACCAATGACAACATTGATAAAAGCAGACTAAATCATATAGAAGATCAAATCTCAAATGTAGAACACAGAATTGCAGGACTAAAAAATCCACCATGAAGACTGAGAAATAGCCCCCGAAACATGAGAATAATTTATGAGAAATACCAGATACCATTAAATGTCCAAACATCCAGATCATTGGTATCCCAAATGGTGAAGAGACCAATGACAACATTGATACCATAAAATTCTGGAAGAAAACTTTCTAAACCTAGAGAGGTATTCAAAGATCCAGACCCAGGACCAGTAGTTAGCGTAATGGCTATGTCGCTGGACTCCCACGTAGTTGAACACGGTTTGCATCCCTGACCTGGTGGCTTAAAACTCATGCCAGGCGTGTGTGCGTGCATGCCCAAGATCCCGAGAGGAGAATGGAGGAGAAGGGATTGCAGTGTGGCTATCCC